GATTAAGGAGCAGCAGCAGGAAGCCAGGGCCACCTAAAGTCCAATGGCTGGGTATCAGGGCAAAGACCAGGGGGCTGGAATGTAGAACTGGCACTAAACACTGAGACTGTATTCCTTGAGAGTGGCCTGACCCAAGGCCCCTGCCACATCTCTTCTTGCCCATCATCACTGCAATGTTACTGCCTGCCTTTAACCCTCCCAATGTGTATTCACTCTCTGACTCTTGATATCCCTCTCCCCTGTCACCAGGCCTCCCACTCTTCCCACCTGAGTGCCATAGCACAGGGGCCCTTCTGACTCACATTCGGCATCCCAGCCTGTGCCATCAGCCATCATCCAAATGTCATCACCCCCACCCCCAATTAACTTCACTAAAAGTCACAATCTTCAATAGATAACTTAAGAGATGCCCTCACCCCCCCTTTCGGTTTCCCACCCAGTGGGAAGAGCAAGCCCCCAGCCTCCCCCCAAACTTCCAGCCTCCATAACTGCCACCCCTTTCCCACATGAAACCACTTTGGAGGCCCACACCTTTCCTTCCTTTGCTTCTTTGGAGTGTGCAACTGAAAAAGTCTGGAGCTGGGTAGAAAAAACAGTCTAGCCTCCAACATCTCCAGTTATGTTATGAAATGCAGAAGGGATAAGATGGCAGTCACTCCACAAGGCAAGTCCTGCACAGCTGCAGGACACTGGCTGGTTTTCTTGTAAGACCACTAGCCAGTTCCCACTCCCATTGCTGTCCAGCACAGCTGTTGAGTCACCAAGTTCTCCATAATGCCAAAGGCGGGCAAGCTCAGGACATCATCCCTGCCTTTGTGCGTTAAAAAAAAAAATTGAACCTGAAGCCTGACAAACACCCCACTCTTATTAAGGTTCAGTGCAAAGTCTGCTCCAGTGCTGCCAGTGCTTCTCCAGTGCAGACCAGCCAGCATGTGAAGCAGTGTTGTCCAAACTTGGCCACTGTAAGATGAGTGGACTTCAACTCCCAGAATTCCCCAGCCAGC